CCCCTATTTTGCATTCCTGATTCTCTTTGTAGAACGAGGGGTGGAACTGTTTGATTTTCTTTCTCTAGCGCACTAAGCCAGGATAGAGTGGGTTTTCGGGTGGAGGTGGGTTAGCTGGGTGAGGAGGGGGAACTGGAATCCGGGGTGGCTTGTGCGTTTTGCGCAGGAGATGTACTGGTGCTTATAACTATGTTCTCATCTTTATCTACCAGGCTGAGAGTATCTTTTGTTTTTGTCTCTTTTAATTTCCCTGTACCATTCTTCCTTTTACTGGCCTCTGACAGCCACTGTCTGGCTTCATTTATATCTTTCTCTGTCTGTTTCTTTTTATTGTATTTGTATTGTTCTTCTATTTGTTGGACTAATTTAGCGCAGTCTGATTGTATCAATCGGCCCTTGAAACCATATTTATTTTCCCATTTTGTTAAGTATTTGACATTCTTTTTGTTTTTGTATCTCATATATTTTGCGTCCCCAGTTAACACAGATGGAGTTCCCTTACGCCGAACATTTCCCATTTTGCACTAATTTTAATTTTTCATTTATTTGTTTTAGTTTATTGTTATTATTATTTCTTGTTGTTTTATTTTATTTTATTATTTGGTTGCTTTTCTATCCACTGTTCGTTTCTCTGAGACACCGTCGGGAGTAACTACCTTCTCTCCCCCCCTTTTTTTTTTTAAAGAAAAACTCTCGTTTAAACATATTCACACTCACACACACACAGATACAGACGTATCTGTGTGTGTGTTCACAGGTTATAATAACTGGTCTTACTGAGGGACAACTCACAGTCATTGTGTTTCCAACTAGTTCCTCTTTTTACGTGTGCACAGAGTTATTTATTACCTGTAGCCTTCTCACACAAGCTATGGACTCTCATCTTCTATTTTCTCACTTGAGCTATTTCTTACAAAGAATCTCAAAAATAAGAAGGATGTTTCTCCTACCTTATTCCACTGAAATCATGTTTGTCATCAGACTCCCGTCACCTTCCGCTCACCCAGCAGATCCTGGCCTCACATTAGTCAAAACGTCCTTGTATGAATAACGCGACCGAGGACTTTCTTAAGAGGACTCGAAAGTCCCCCTGTGCGCGGTGTCAGGTCCAAATCTGGGCGAGGGAGAGGATGTTGGGATCCGGCTCGAAGGACCAAGTTGTCAAAAGAATTTCCAAATAGAGCAACGAAGTCACTGGAATGGTAACAGCAGTATTCTTTACTTGCAGCAAGGAGACAAGTCAGCATGAGCATACAGAGTTGTCTGAATGAGATAGGTGGAAACAGTACAATCTATAGTTGAAAGGGAACTCCCTGAGGATGCAACCCAGGCGTTAACTAAGTCTTAAAGTAGATTTAAAGAGCAGAAAGGAAGTTGAAAGGGGGTTGCCCTGATAGCCCCTCAGACACTAAATAAGCTGGGTGCATGTTTATTTTCACAGTTTATGGCTGGGGTCCTCTAAATCTGGAACATCTTGTAGTTGAATATATCACAGCACACAGAGTTTAAAAAGAAAGATAAAACATGTCCTTCAGGTCACACAAGCAGTTTCTCGTGGTTCTCTGGTCTATTATTCTCCTGACAGATATATTTAAATATAATGAATGTCAAAAAAAATTCACTGGCTAAACTGACATGATACAAATGATTTTAGTGGGTGCGTTACCTGAAGGTATGAGAATGTAAATGGTAAATGGACTGTATTTATATAGCGCTTTCTCACAGTGTGTTACACTGGCCAAAGCGCTTTACAGGACATTAACTGCCCTACCTCATAAGCCACAGCCACCAGTAAACAGAAAGAAAACAAGTATGTAAAAGTATTTTTTAAAAACAGTCACAATAATGATCTGACTGACTCCTTTGAACACTCCCCTATCTGCATCCTGGAGAAGCCTGTTTTGGCACACAGAATTCCTGGGCAGGAATGAGGTTCATTCATCCCCCAGACCCCATGATAAAACAGAGCTGTACTCAAAAGCCTCTGTTCATCATCTGCCCTGCACCTCAAAGTTCTTTTGAACCTGGCTGCTTACTGCTTTACTATCTATACTGTACTGTATATCATGCAGCAATGGACAATATCAAAACATAATGAAAACTGTTCAAAACCCACCAACTGCTCAAATTTGTTCAGGATTTGATCACTGGTTTAACGTCAGTTCCAGCTGATGATTACATAAACAGTGCAGTGAGGAGATAACATGGTGAGGTGACTTAGGCTTTGTGTCTAAAGCTTGTTATCCTGCATAAAATCAGAAAGTGCTGCATAGCCATGGTTAAGACCAGCTGCTTCCTGTCCACAGGTCATTATTTCCAACAAAAAGCATAACAAGGTCCTTAAATGGTAACAAGCTTCCTGTATGCTAACAAACTCTGCAGAGTCTACATCTTTGCACCTTTTATCATGTTTCCATTTCAGTAGGCATCCACAGTGTTTCATAATCCAGCAGCAAAGGCTGTAATATATGTGCAGACCATTTTTTTATCACTTCAAGATGACATGTCAAGATGATGTTTGGAGATGGAAGGGTTCTTAGTTCTGACATACTAACAAGGTGACTTTATCCAGTAGTTATGGCTGACTCATCCACTAAAGAAAACTGTCAGCAAACTCCCTCAGTACGCCAGCATGCCATAGGGTGTAACAGAGAGGCCAGAGAATGTTTTAAAATAAATCTCATTTGTCCAGGAAATGTTTGCTAAGCCGAAGTGTCCTCTTTCAGACTGCCTTTTAACTACAGATGTTTTACCCAGGTTATCTCTGAGAGAATGGTCCTCTCATGAAAGTAAGCTGAACTAATAAAGATGGCATGATGGAATTGTTCATTGTTTCCTTTTTTTATTATGTCTATTAGATGTGCAATAAGCATCTTTTTAAAGATGATCTCCAAAAGTATTCAAATGTATATTAAATTGCCAACCTTAAACATATAGTGTTAAGTCATATTCTACAGTATCCTTCATCCATCTGAACGTCATAGAGGTTTGTCAAAAGAATTTTCAAAGAAGCAACAAAGTCACTGGAATCTTTCAATAAGAGTTTAGTTTACTTGCAGCAAGGAGACAAGTCAGCATAGGCATACAGAGTTGTCTGAATGAGCTTAGTCTAAACATCACATTATATAGGACAAAGGGAACTCCCTGAAGACGCATCCCAGGTTGTAAAAAAGATTTGCAGAGGGAAAGTGAACTTGAAAGGGTTTTGCCCTGATGACCCCTAAGACACTGCACAATCTGTTGTCTGTTTATCTCCACAGTGTATGGCCGGAACGGTTTATGGCTGGCTCCTTTAAGTCTGGGATGCCATCTGGTTGAACATATAACAACACACAAAGTACTAAAACAAAGGTAAAACATGTCCTTCAGTTCACACAAGCAGTGTCTCACAGGTTCCTGTGATCTGTGGTCTGTTCTGAAAGGTTAAAATCCATTGAATAACATACGTTGGTTAATATATTGATTAGAACACAGTTTAAAACATACTTGATAATGTAATTTTCATGACAAGGTTTTTTCAGCAACTCAGCCAGGTCTTGTGTTGTGTTCACTGACTACCTTGGTTGAGAAGACAACTAAGCCAATCAGACCGATATAAGTACAATTATGACTGGACTGAGTAAATTACAAAAAAATTGCCATTAAAGTTGCAATGAGCAATGAAGAAGTTGTCATCACAGTCTCCATGTTATCTGATAATGATATCAACGGGATAGATCATTCATTTATTACCTCATTTACTTAACTCATCTGCTGTTTTCTGTTTGGAACAGAAAACAGCAGAGTTGTCCAGCCTAATCTTATCATTCCACCACCAGGAACCATCCTGTACTCAGGCCAGCAGTCCGGCCCCAGTATACATTTGCATTTACATTACACAGCACAGGACAATTGTTTATGCAGAAAACATCATATTCCCCTCAGAACAGATATCAGCAGTAGGTATGCAACAGAGCAAACATGAACATTTCCTGAGAGTTCTGAGGAAGAATGGTATTATACAGACTGCTGGTGTCCTTCTATCGTAGCTCTATTGAGAGCATCCTCACATACTGTATCTGTGTGTGGTACAGTAGTTGTACGGTGTCCCAGAGGATAGCACTCCAGAGGGTTATTAACATCGCACAAAAGATTGTTGGCAGCCCCTTTCCTTCTCTGGAAGAACTACATAGTTCCCACTGTCTCAAAAAAGCTCATAACATTGCAAAAGACACATCTCACCCTGGTCATTCTTTGTTTGAATTGCTGCCATCAGGAAGATGGTACAGATAAATTAAAACAAGGACAAATAGATTTAAAAAGAGTTCCTACCCAACTGCAATAATGGCATTAAATGCTGCATAGGCAACCGAGTAAGAAATACATGCTCATTATGCACCGAGGGGTTATTGTAAGATTGTATGTGTACATGTCTGTATGGGTTTTAGCTTGTTTTATTTTATTTATTTATTGATAGTCACCCTGTCATTTTCATAAAATTCGAAGATTTAGTTATGGCACCCAGCCTCCAAACCTCCCAAGTGACTTCTGGTCCCCGCAAAGGAGTGTGCTCCCATTGACTGTATATAAAAACTGAACAAACCCACCGTGACGTCACCTATTGGTTTTCTTAAGGGCAGTTTTGAAGCTCAACTCTGGCCATGACTATATTGTCAGCACTTCACTCCACCTGCTAGGTCTAATTCAAAAATGGGCAAAGAGGCAGAGTGTGAGTGGAGCTCTTTAGGCAGCTAGCGGCCACCCCTCTGTGGGGGCCCTCACACCTCACACCAAAGTGTTACTTTTAGTCTTAATATAATTTAAATGGGCTAGTTATAAACAAATTCGCCACCCGTACAGCTGTTACATTTGTCAAGGAAGGAGAAATTAGCTAAAGAGACCAAAACTGTTTTTTGTACCAAGCTGTAAACATGTTTACTTCTTCTGTAAAGTTGGGCAATTTAGCCCCAAGTGGTCATTCCAGGAACTGCATATTTTGGCACTTCGGCAATGGCTTCACTTCTCAGCCTCTGAGGTTGCCTCTTGTGTGCCATCAGTCTTCAGTCCCCACAAGTATATATAAACAAGGCCAAACACACACGCACCATAATTATTTTCAGTAATAAGACACTGGGCTCTCTACCACAACACCATGACTAAGAGTCTTTGAAATGGGACACTAACAAGCTAACAACACTTCCACAAGGGCTGCCTTCTGCATGCTGTATGCTAGACACAAAGTTGATTTGATCTTGGTGACAGGTGTTTACATTTGTGTATTTGTGTGGGTGCGTTAGGGGTGTGTTCAGGGGGTGGGGAGGGTTAAAGGACTCCGGGCCAAGGTATATGTAAGATGCAAAATTGGTGGTTTTCAACCACTGTAGAGGTGCATACGGCACAGCAGCAACACAGAAAAGCTTAAGGGGAAATCCAAGTCTTTTTTCGACTTTCTTTGTGTTTAGGGGAGACAAAACTAGAAATTGGTGGTAGACAGAGAAGAACAATAAACAGAAGGTACCTGACTGCACAAAGTCACCTTTTGTGGAAGTTCGTCTAACAACATTTTTCTGCTTCGGTCCATCTGAGAAGCAGGTAAGAAATCAGCCTATTGACAGCCTGCAACACCTTTCCATGCAGCCAGTGGTAATTTAAGCTGTGGTGCAGGACAACCTATCAGTAAACTGTTTATTCCAAGTCACTTAAGGATGCATTGATGGGTTTTTCATTAGTTTGCAAAGAAGAATATACAGTAGATATTGCCTCTCTGTACACATGACTTCCAGAAGACTAAAAACAGTGAAGAACCTACAACAGCTTTTGGCTTTTCACAGGGTTTGAGTGCTATTAAGGAGCAAACTTAAGAAAACCTGTATTATAAAGACTTCTCTTTATACATGCTAGAGTAAAGAACTATAATGTAAAAGGTAGAGGGTCACGATCTTGTCTTTGTCTACAAAAATAAATGTTGCTTTAGTATCTTGATTTGAGACAAACATGTAGAAATAAAATTAATTTTTTAAACAACCATTATTGAACATTTAGCTGGTTTGCAGTTTCCTTTTATATTTAAATTGAATGTATAGAAAGACATTCTTCATCATTTCACACTCAGAGCAAAAACATGAAATGTCTGCAATACCATTTTACTTTGAATTCAACTTTAGACTTAAATGGATGTACGTATAGTTGATATTTATGGATTTTTTAAATACAGTTTTTAATCATTTATGATGATAAAAATTGGCTTGTAATTGAACTGAGTAAAATAAAATTAGATAAAATGCACATACACATAAAAAGTCATTCAAATATCCACT